TCTAAACAATGTCCTGAGTTGAAATGAAAGAGCTCCATCCAGCCTCCTCTGGTCCAGACCTGTGAATGTGTCCACAGCACTGAGTTGCACCAAGAGCACCTGGCTGCAGACCTCCACGGTCAGGTCAGTTCTGGTGCAGCCTCTCCTGTGAGGACACCTCCACTGTCAGGACAGGAAATGCACGGGATGCATTACAAAATAAAATCATGTATGCACTTCTGGTGGAATTGATTTTCATGCTAATGTGTTTATATTGTTTTAATTGATGTATTTAACTTTGTTTATTGGCGTTTTTGTTCTGCTTTCCTTGAGCCCTGCCGTGAGTTTTTATGCCTGTGAAGGATGCGTTTATATTCTGGCCGAAACGTTGTCATAGAGCCACAATAACGATTATCATATACGTAGCGTCATATACACTATTCTGCGTAATGGTACAACTGAGGTCATTACAGAAATCATAAACGGTGGATGGGATGACTTGGGGCTCAAGCATCCATTTGTAGCACAAAGCCGAGGATCTTTAAGAGATGTAGGTCAGATCCATGAAAAACAATTGAGGGCATGGTCCCAGCCTTAACCCTGAGTGTCTACGTATAGCTCTGCATACAGCTTGTTATGTTTATAGCACTATAGTAATTGTTCTATGTGGTACCATAGCTCTTGATCCGGGGAAACGCTGTCTCATTTCACTATGTGCTGTACAGCTTTATATTTTTTGAAATGACAAATAAAGAAACCTTGTGTGGCAGGATGAAGCCTAGTTTCTGCTCCTAATGGAGAATGCTATTCAACCTATCACCGCTTGAGGGCACTCCTTATAAGGGTGCGGTGCCCATCTTGGTGTCTCTTGCTCTTGGCTCTGAGACCGCCCACTTCTGGGTCGCCTTGTTCTTGGCTGTCAGGTACCGGCGGCACTCCACGCAGGTAATGTGGCGGTGACTGCTTCGCCAGCATTTTGCCTCACTTACATGCTCGATGGGGGCTGCAAGGTGGCGCAGTTGGTAGCACTGTTGCCTCGCAGCAAGAAGGTTGCTGGTTCGCGTCCCGGTGGAGTTTGCATGTTCTCCCCGTGCAGCGTGGGTTCTCTCCGGGTTCTCCGGCTTCCTCCCACACAGTCCAAAAACATGCTGAGGTTAATTGGTGATTCTAAATTGTCCGTAGGTGTGAATGTGAGTGTGCTTGGTTGTCTGTCTCTAAGTGTGGCCCTGTGATAGACTGGTTACCTGTCCAGGTGAACCTGCCTTTGCCCTGAGTCAGCTGGGATAGACTCCAGCCCCCCATGACCCTAGTGAGGATTAAGCGGTGTGTAGATAATGGATGGATGTTTATTCTTTTCTTTCTGTAGTTATTTTACTTTATTTTCCTATCTCTATTTTCCTGCTCATTCCTAGCGTGACACCAACAGCCGAAACCAGATTCCTTGTATGTTGTGTATGTACTTGGCCATTAAAGCTGATTCTGATATGAAGTGAAGAAACGCTATTTCTCTGTGTTGGTTTCAAAACCTAGAATTGCAGTTAGTGACATGTGAGCTTGAAATCGTGCTACGAGACAACACAGAGAAGCACAACACAATCACAGAACCCTCAGATAGAAAACAGACAGTTCTGTTAACATTTTCCTTATGTCACAGTAAGCATCACTTACAGAGAGCAGGAAGAAATGCCCAGTGTTAGGAGGGCGCTCCTGAGTTAGAGGAAGGGGACCCAAAAGGCGACAAGGGAGATGGGTAACAATAATAAAGGGAACTTTATTGGGGACAGGAGTGAGGACACCGAGGAAGCAAGAGGGGGAAGCGCAGGCACAAGCAGGTCTTCGTGAGGGAGGTGAAAGGGGAAGAGGGTGATCCAGGGATACCGTCCAGGTGCTCCAGTGAGGGAAATCCGTGCTCCGGGGATATGTGATTGTGATGAGTGAATCCGAAGTGGGGGAACCGTGGAGCTGCTGTTGGTGGCTGACTCGTGAAGGCTGGGCTGGGGGGAGACGTAAGGGGGAGAAGGCTCTGAAGGGGTATAAGGGTTCTAAACCCCGAACCCCAACTCCCAGGTTGTGATAGTAATAATGGCATCTCCGGTTGAAGCATCAGTCTGATACAACAACAAAAAAATGAAAAGCAAACTGTGTTAATACACAAGAAATATATTTTGAATAAAAATCAGTGGGGCATGTTACACTTACAGGTAAGTGTTGGAGTGGGTTCCATGATGTTGGTGGTCGCCAGGTTGCTACAGCATAGAGGTCAGCTGCAAAAATGGACTTCCCCCGTGGAATATGTCCATTTCAAAGGTGAGTAAAAACCCATATGATACAAAAAGGAAAAGTGTATTACATAAACAATATTTCTGTTTTATACCTGTGACTGAGCATGTTTCGCAATAACTTCCAAGCATGCATTTCCTATCTGCAAAAAAGCAGCTAAACTTGGCAGTGACATACAAACATAATTAGCCCAAAATTATATGGTATCAAATGTAAACTTACCGTTATAAACCCTGTAATATTCTCATGTGAGGACTGAGTGTGAGATGAGGATGACATTGCTCCGACCTCTGTTGCACTGGACCAACAGTTGTGGCAAAATAAATATCTTGCCTAACCTAACCCTAAAAATGAAAACAAAGCTAAGGTAACGCCCACTTCCTGATGTCATACAGAGCAGTGGGTGGGCTCACTGGAACGGCCGTGTGGATAAATGGGAGGGTAGGTCCAGGTTTCATGCTTCTACTGTGTTCAGAAAAGTTATTTAAGAATCACGCATCCTCAAATCAGTCATCGTGGTTATTAACCCTATTCATCCCACTAACCGCCAGAAAGGCCAACAAGTCAACTCTGGCCTGGATCCTGAACTGGCGATGACAATTGAGAACCTTTTGGCAAGTGTAAATACCACAGTCCAGCAAAGTTCTAAAAGTGCTGCTTTCCGCCACTGTGGTTAACACAATAGCGGCCTGCGCCGGTTACAGTGACACCAAAACAGCTGAATGATCATCATGCAGTCGCACAAATGTGACCAGTTAAAGTTTGAACTCACACGTCTCTCAAAAAATAGTCAGAAATGTGATCAAAATGGTCTGGAGCCCTGGTGGTGGTCTCTTAAATTTAAGAACTGTATACATAGGATGAAACAATATGAACATTTCATCACAACTACTTTGTTAATGAATTAATGACATCTAGATTTAAAGCCACCATGGAGCCTTTTAAGCTGATTTTGTGGTTTGGTTTTGTGTTCGCTGTTGGCCAAGTTATCAGAAACACAAAGCATGTGGGCGGTTTGCCAAAGAAAGCTCAGGTTTCATGTTAGTTAAAAATAAAGTCTTGGTTGGAAATTTGCTTTGTTTTTTTTAGTCCAGCTGTCTATCACCTTTTACATTTTCATTTCTCAGTTGCACTGCAAGGTCCCTTGCTCCAGAAACGTCAGTAACAGCAAGCTTCAGCAGGAAGTGGTCTGTGGCAGATAAACAGTTCGGCTGTTGTTCATATGAAAATGAAAGAGAGTAAAGGACTTCACTTAAACAAGTAAGCGACACTGACGCTCCTGTGGTTTTGTCCCTTGATGCTTAGAGGAGTTAACGCAGTATCACAAACCGGTTGTTCACTCTGTACCAGATGCTGACGATGAGTGCTGCCAAGTGGATTGTCCTCTTAGCCTTGTGCTTCATACGAGTGTCTTCAAACGGTAAGTCCTTTTGTAAAATTGAAGTCTCACATGTTATTTTGTGAAGTATTCTTCTTGACACGTGTGCGTGCGCTGCCTCACATTGAAACTGATGCTATTTACTTTGACATTTTGTTATTAAATGCAATTAAACCCACAAATTCTAAACACTTTCTTTAAGAGTTGTATTTCACCCCATGAGCTTGTTAGTGTTGTGTCAGATGCTTTTACTGTTGTACATATTTATGTTTTGCTTTAATCACACATACCATTTATTAGCTAATATTGTAATACTTGGCTGGATTTACAGATGATGACTTAGGAGCTGGGATAGACAGGAATCTGGAACATTGAACCTATGTTGGAATGCTGTGTTTTTTGAGAGCATTTTTTGAGCAGCATTAACAATTTCAACGAGCGCATCAGCAACACTTTTAACGGCGGCTCAGCAAGAACGTAGCGGGCCACACATGGACACTCTGTTGAAATTAGAAAATAGCATGAGTCTCGCCATCCACATGATCAACCTTTAAACGCATTAGGATGGTCGAGCTAAAAGTCATTTATATGTGGCTTTCCCCCAGGGACTCTCCACCACCCAATCCACTGCAACACTATGTACTACTCCAACACCATCGCCACTAAACAGCTTTCTCATTTATGTTTAGAAAGAAATGTAAATATGTTCTCACTTGTCATGCTTTCTAGTTTGGAGGTACATGTGACTTTCACCCGGGAGACTGGGATCTGTGTCCCATCATGGACAAATATTCAGAATTCTTTTATTTTCAGAGTTTTGTTTTCATTTAGTTTTCACTAACAGTTAAGTTTAGGCACAAAAACCACATGTTTAGTTTTAGGAACATACCATGGTTTAGGTTCAAATCTGACCCTTTCGCTATATCAATTTGAAGTTTCTGCCTGATTTTGTATTTTACCAGGGAGATGAGTCCCGTCCCATCCATCATGTGCTTTTTTTGGCTGGAATTGAGCAATAGTACGTTGAATGAACGTTTAGTGTCTTATCCGAGACGTTCACTCCACAAAACTTACTGATTAAATGATCTTGAAGAAATGCTCTCTCATCTTGCCTGTACTTTTGTGTATGTAGAGCGAAATGACAATAAACCTGATTTGATTAGTACAACAATAAAATAAATGGCAGACATGCTTATTTAATGTCTCATTTGTGATACCTCACCAACAAACGCAATCTGGCAGAAAATGTGTTCCTTCGAATGCAGTTTAGTTGGATAGAAATGTAACTCTGTGGAGACTGGGCTGCCCACTTGTTGCTTACCTTACCTATCTTACCCACTGTAGGTGGAACCCCCACCCCCACCCAATTTTTTTTTTTTTTAATTCCCATCAGGGGGTAGATTTTCTAAAACCTGAAAACAGAGCAAAGACAAAGTGCAGAAGTCTAGTTTCATCTCAGACCACTTGAGTTACAATATGCTGAAAGGTTAAGACCAGTGGCGGCTGGTGAACATGTTTGGTGGGGGGGCGCAGTCTGTAAATGACCTTTTATTTTAAATCAGAAATTAGAATATGAGTAACATCAGACACAGCTATTTACAGGAATGCACATGTTCTACCTTTGGAGGATGTTCTAATCATAATCTAATTCAACATTATTAAGACTGACCAGAACTACATTTCAAAAACCATTCATCAAACTTTCATCAGTGTTTACAGGATCTGTACAAACTCAAAACACACAACAGAAATAATGAAAAAACACGACTCAGGGCTCCAGACGAACTCTTTCACTGGTAGCACCGGTACGACCAACTTTCTTATTTTGAGTAGTAATGAAATAAACACTGCCTGCCCCAGCTTTAATGTCAGAATAAACTAATTCATGTTTGTCTTTTACACATTCTGTTAGATTTATCAAATATATTTCCAACCCTTCCAGTTAATTTAAAGACTTCTGAATACCCACAATGTCCACTGTTTGCACTCTTGGTTGTTTGAGCAAGAGATAAGATATCTAAACTTTCCCTCCTGTCTCACTCTCCCCAACAAGATGAGCACAACGATGAAGACTATGATGAGGATCGCTGTGAAACACAGGCACTCAGTGCTCCTCTTGGCTCGTCTGTGTCTCTACCATGCAACTTAGACGCAAGTAGCGAGCACTGGGTGACATGGGCCCACAGTAAAACGATGGACCTGGTACAGGTCTCCATTGCAGGGCGAGTCAAGTTCCTGGACCCCAGACATGGCAGAGTGAAAACCTTTCCAAACCAGGCATCAGAGGGAAACTACTCCATTCGCATCGATGAGCTTACAACCTCTGACCTTGGAAGTTATCGCTGCTACCAGGTGGATTACTGCGTTCAAGTCGTGGACTTGTCTGCTGACAGTAAGTGGGCTTCTCTTTGCATTCAGGCAGAGTTTCATAAATGCTCAGCAGCCGCCTGTGCAGAGGCATGTGGTCTCTTTTTTTTCCAAGATCACAAACCTCAAAGGCCAAACACATGAGAAAGGACAAGAACATGCGCAACTGTTTCCTGTGACAAACCACATCCATTTATCGTGTAGGTCCACTGAGCACAGAGATGTGGCTGCTGACTTGCATCAGTGTTGGTGTGACGGCTCTCATCCTGCTGAGTGTTGGTGGATACTTCTGCTGCAAGAAATGCGTAGGTGAGGACCTGCTCTGCTGCTACTCTCAGTCCAAGAAGCTGATAAGTGTAACTGGGTGGTCTACTGGCTGATTCAATGGTGGGATAGATGGTCATTTATTTGTTTCCGTTTCAGTGCCCTGTCACAGCAAAACCCAGGACAATGAAAGCAATCCAGTCAGTGCAGGTACTGAGGGTAAGCAACAACAAGTATCTTGGTACCATTTCTTTTTTTTGTTTGTTTTAAAGTGTGCATTCAAAGAAACTAACCCTGGTTGATCTTAATTTTTTATGCTCCAAATCCTGTGGTCTTGCTGATGGGTGCATATATGGATCCATTTTTCAATATTTAAATTATTCTACTAATCCTGCCATTAGTGTTGTACGATGACTTGCAGCATGTTGTGCAGTGGTGTTATATACATGAAGCTGAACTGAATGAAACAGCCACATGCAGTGCTACAGCTGCTAATTTAGGAAATGTCACTGATGAGGCTGTAGGGCCACATGAGGGCTGATCATGCATCTGTCCCATCTGTCCAGGAGTGAAAAAATTCCCCAACAGAATGACCAGATCCAAAGCGAATTAACACTGATTAATGGCTTCTGTGTTTTTGTTTAATCTGTACAAAATGTGAAAAGTAAAAGTGCTTTTAAAACTTGCTTCCAGTCTGTACCAATCTAAGCTAAGGCAACATCGACACCAATATATTTTTATTTCAAAATGCGTCACTTTTACTAGGTTTAAGCCTTGTATCCACATTATTTTAGATTAGGACCCCTAAAACAGAGAGTTTTGGAAACACGCCCACATTTACTTTCTGATTGGATCTTATTGTTGCTGTGATTGTTCCCTGATTGGTCACACGATCACATGACCATTTTCTGGAGGAAAACAAAGTCATGAATACTAATGGTTAATGAAAGGGGGAGTGAAGCACTTAGTCAGGTTATCATAACCCACTGCATGTATTTCCACTCTACTCAGAACGGATATAACACACACGGAAGATGTAATCATACAAAAGGAAAAAGAAGATTGTTTTATGTTTTCTCTCCAAAGGGCGCTGCCATCTTGGAGTAGGTCAGCTGGTGACGTCACGGGGTGGGTTAGCGTCACAGGTTTAGTTACAAAACAGTGAAAGACAGACTGTAGACAATAAAGACAGTAAAAGATGGAGGCTGAGGAGCCACAGGTCACCAGAAGACAAAGGAGGCCACCACTGGATTACTCCTGGATAGAAGAATGAATTCACCGGGTTAAAGCCATAAACAGTCCACTTCCATGACCTGATGCTCCGCTAGAAACACTGAAGAGAAAGAGCCTGACTCAATTCAATGCTCTACTGACCGACCAACATACTCCCACAACAGCCGTACAGCGGCATCCGTCCACCACAGGGAGACGGAGCTCAACAGCTACCTGTAAAGATTTACTGGATTTACTGACGCCTGTCACAGACACATAGCTGTTTGATAAGAACATCATCACTGACACAATAAAGTTCAACACGTATGACTGACACTGTGTCATAAATATAAAAAACTACATAACTACAATCATTGTAAACACCCAGTCATCAGTATTCTAAACTCGTGTCGTTTTATACCACAGACTGCACGTGATTCCTGCCGGAGCTCAGAGCCGACGCAAACCTCGACAAACATTTCTTACCTTGACTTTATGTTTTGCTAAGCAGTCAATCAAGACTCCAAACTTTAGATAATCCTCAGGTATCTCTCAATGTGTGCAAAAAGCCTTTCAGCTCGCTTTTACCGTTTTAAAAACAACAACAAAAAAATGTAGGAAAAAATGTAAAGTCAAGCAGTGAAGTAAAGTTAACATTGCATATTGTCGCGTTGCAGTCTAGACTCATGTCAAGCCTCTCTGAACCGCATATATTCCTGTAAACCCACTGGTGGATGCATTTGAACCAGTACGACGTGGAAACCGTGCCATGCTAACTTTAACAATCTTCTTTTTCCTTTTATGTGATTACATTTTTCGTATTTGTTATAGACGTATGGAGTAGAGTGGAGATACATGTAGTGGATTATGATGACTTGATTGAGTGTGTAGCGACATCCAAGTTCTCGTGTCGCTGAGAGACTGAGCCTGGGTCTGTTTGTCTGACGCGCGGTTAAATAACAATTCACGGAGACGCTTATAAATAAGTTTAGCCTTTTATTAAATGAAAACAGGATCATAACTCATATGAAAAAAAACTCCAAATCAAAGTAATCAAAATAAAATAGCAATCAAAAATAGTATTATAGCAAAAAAGCGGTCAACAAAAAATACGGCGACCTAGCTCACCCACTCTCCCTCTTCTCCTCACAAAAGCACAGGTGAAGTGGTGAATAGGTGAGCTTAAATCCCCGCCCATCTACGGGAGCCGATATCTCCCGATCAAATGTGACCATCAAAAAAGGATCACAATCAAAACAACAATAATCAATGTGCTGTTTACCCTGGCAACAAAAACACAGACTTACTCATGGCTCCTACAGAGTGCTTCACTTCCCCTTTAAACATAGAAAATGAGTTTGGCTCCCAGGATTCCTTAACTTGTTGTCTCTGCTAACAGCTGTAGTGCAGTGAAGGAAACCTCTGATCTTGGTTTTGGCCATAGCTGCTCTTCCTCTGTAGTATTTTCAGCAGTGTTATTATCCACTAAGGATCAAAATAACGAAGAGTGAGTGAACTTTAAACATTTGCAGCGTGCCCTTTAGGTTGTTCTGTGTCATGTTCTCCAGCAGGGGCCAGTGCTCCACCTGCTCCCTCAGCACCACATGGACAGCAGATCGGTAATCCATCACACAACATAAACACTCATTTTAATACAGTACCTGTACGCTGTTTGTTTTGTTCTAACATACTTTACACGTTCTCCTTGTGTTTCCGTCTCCTGCAGGATCGGACAGCAACAGTCTTGTTTATGGTGAGTTCACTCGTCTCCTCTTGCTTTAATCCACTCTGTCCATGTCACCTATGAAATGATCTTGTTAACAAGTGGCATGTATCCCATCGAAAAAAAATGAACGAGTGGTCGATATGTTTTTCTTTTTTAAACAACAGAAAATGATGATCAATACCTTGCCAGCGCTGCCCCCGCCAGACGCCATCAGGGTCACCCAGGAGCCGTGCAGGATCAGCCCAGTCAAGCAGCCAGCGGGATTTATCCAAACCTGAGTGAATTTAAGTTTGAGAGAGTGGAAAGTCAGAGAACAAGAATGAGATTCCACATAGGTGCCTAATAGTAATCAGTGTAAATACTGCAGCTTGTATTTTAACTCGTACAGTATGACATAACGCAGTCGTCTCTTCCTCCTCAGAACTCATCAACAGATTACGGCCATCAAGTCTCAGTCGACATTATTATGGTAATATGAGCTTCTTTGATTATTACTTTGCATAATTTCAGTTCTGTCAGGAATTTTACTCATCCATGTTACTGCACAGTTAACCAAGGAGACCTCAGGAAGCAACAAGCCATGTCAGCGCAGGCCGAGGCTCATCACAGAGGTACTTTGATTTCAGCTGATTTGTCTTAGAATTTTCATAGATATTGTAGATATATATACACATGCAGTCGTATGAAAAAGTTTGGGCACCCCTGATCATTTTCAAGATTTTCCTTTATAAATCACTGGTTGTTCAGATCAGCAAATTCAGTTAAATATATCATATAGCAGACAAACACAGTGATATTTGAGAAGTGAAATGAAGTTTATAGGATTTACAGAAAGTGTGCAATAATTACTTTTTTAAAAAGTAGGCAGGTGCATCATCGTCACCTGGGCTTTCCCAAATAGTTTAAAGACATCGTAATCTTAGTGTATGTTAACTTCTGACTCTGAAGAAAGTAGTAAAAAAAAAATCTCTAAAAAAATCGCTCTCTCATTATTCTGGCATTCATAATGTTGGTAATCCTAACTGACCCAAAACAGGAAAGGTTTAGTCTGATTTCATGTCAGATAGTGAAGGAGAAAAAAACGGTGTATATGTCTTTTTATACAGTGTATGTAAACTTCTGGTTTCAGCAGTATATATATATATATATATACACACACACACTATAGATATAATGTATATAATCTCTGTAAGACAGAATACATTGGTTCTGTTACTGAAGTGTTTTCCTTTACAGCAGGTGTGGGGTTGAAGAAAGTCAAAGAAGGTGAGCGCTGACTTCATCTGTGGACATGGTACCAGTGATATCTTTCTGTGCACTGATCTGCTCTCCCACTTTCCCTCTGTTGCCCCTCAGAGTGTGAATACAAGAACCCCATTTACAACAGGAGCACAGACCAGCTCAACCATCTGTAGAGAATCCAGGACAGAGAACATCCTTTGACAATGACAGCTATTGATTCCTCTTTTTTAAAATGTAAAAAAATAAATCATATTACTTTGACTTCTTTATGTTTTAAGGTGATGCATGTCTTATGACAGCGGTTTCCAACCTTTTTTGCACCACGGACTGGTTTCAGCCAAGACAGTTTTCTACAGACCAGTCATTGTGCACATTACAAATGATAATATTTTTTTCTATTAAAAAAGTGTCGTAAAAAATTATATTGCTTTTTATTGCTAAATATGTAATTATTTTTTCTTCTGCCTCAGCATCAAGTCTCTGCCTCTTTTTAAAGAAGCTCTCCAGAGAAGTTTGTATTTATTTTTAATCCATTTTGGCCGCGGTGAGCCTGTCGGTTCCGTTTAACGGCAGGGCATGACAACTGACACAGTCAAGTAGGGGAAACAAGCACAGGTGGAAGTGACGACAGACGAGGTAGTCATTTTTCAAAATAAAACACCCTGCAGACTCCGCTGGAAATAAAATAAACCAACAAACCCTTTTTGTTTTTTTCTGTGCGGCCCAGTACGGTCCGCGGCCCGGTGGTTTGGAACCGCTGTCTTATTGTATTTGTAATAGGAATGCACTGTATTTCATTGCCTGCACATCTGTGTCTGCTGTTTAATAAAATACTTTGAAACAATATCACACCAACAGATTGGTTTCATCCTTAATGTTGTAAATATAAATTTTTCCTAGTACCAGTCACGTAGAGCAGTGTGCTGTTTAAATTCATGAAAGACTAAATAATTAACAGATAAACAAAATCGACTCGCAGCAAGAAGGTTGCCGGTTCACGTCCCGGTGGGGGCACCAGGATCTTTCTGCGTGGAGTTTGCATGTTCTCCCCGTGCAGCGTGGGTTCTGTCCGGGTTCTCCGGCTTCCTCCCACAGTCCAGAAACATGTTGAGGTTAATTGGTGATTCTAAATTATCCGTAGGTGTGAATGTGAGTGTGCTTGGTTGTCTGTCTCTAAGTGTAGCCCTGTGATTGACTGGTTACCTGAACCTGCCTTCACCCTAAGTCAGCTGGGATAGACTCCAGCACCCTGTGACCCTCATGAGGATTAAGTGGTGTATAGATAATGGATGGATGGACAAAATCAAACCAGTATGGTCAGTTCAGGAAATGTACAATATAACGTAAGAGGACAAAAAAAAGTTTTACCATCTTGGGTTCTTATTGCAAAAGGCTTTTGACTGACTGTTCCATGCACTAAAAAAAAAAGTGCAACAAGAAATGAATCTAAAATGAACTTTCTTCTGTAGAGAAATGAACATATAATCCCCGGTTACTATTCTATCGTATGCCACCTTGTCACTTTACCAACATTTAAGTGCCGTTGTCTCCTAAAAGATATTAAAGATGATGCAGTAAGAGCATGTCAGCCACAATATTCCAGAAGCAGCTGTTATTACCAGACACACACATATGTCTGGTTACAACAAAACAGGCAGCAAAAAGAAAAGGTAAAGCAGCAGAAACGTTGAAGGAAAGTGTGTTTAGTAGGAGGTGGATGAATGAAAGATGCATAGCGAGTTCTAAGGGAAATACTTACAGCAGTCTTTAGTATTTTAGGTGGTTTGCAGGGCAGTCTACCAAAAAGTGTCTCAAATGATCAATCTCCACTATATGAAAGAAGACAAACAATTAGAAATATATTTTACATTCTTAGTTTAATTTAAAGTTAAAATTCAAGATATTTGTGTGTTTTTTTCCAACCTTTTATATCTACAAATACAGGTTTGTACCTACAGACAGTAAACTCGTGGGAAAATAAACCCCAACTAGACATATGAAGATACAAGCGCACTTAACAAAGGACCCAGATATGGGTTGATTTGACCACAGGATGCTCATGCTGGGAGGTGATGCACAGCACGTTGCAAGCTCTCGGGCTGCTTTCACACTCCTGGCAGCCGATTAAAGTAAATGAGAAGCAGCTGCTCTCCGTGTCACAACCAGACTCAGCAACCAAAAATGAGGACCCATGTTCCAGACCTCATTTTGGTGAAATTTACTTCTCTATCACTGTTTTTCCTGACATCTGAAGTCCAATCTGCTTCAAAACAATCTAAAGCAATATTTTATGACACTTTCAGCAATCATATGTTGATCTGCCAGGATGAGTTCATGTCTGTTTCCATACCAAAAGTGCAATTTGCCGATCTTCCTTTCTCCATTTATGTTCAAGGTAAGTCAAATACTGCAAAAAAAAAACTAAATATGCATACATTTGAGCTTTGCCGTGTGTGTCTTTACTACGCTCCTGTTTGTGTCCACATTTACATGCAGATGAACGCAGCAGATATTACCAAGCCATTGCTATAGCAACATCGTGCCACTACTACTTTGGAGAGACTGACAGCTCTGTTGTCTTAACAGTGTCTTCCCATGGATGCTTTGTGAGAAGAAAAGTGAGCTGAGAAGCCTCTTTATCATGTCTGCTTTTTTATTTCTAATACAGACTTGTCTTTTTTTTCTACTTTTTCTTTAACATTCCCTTCAACAGAAATACACCACAAGTCTGACTGTGGTCATTGTGGCGCTTGCACACACAGGCGGAGTTGAAATTGTCAGGTCAATACCTCTAATATGTGAAAGGAAAATCAAAGGTAGTACTTCCATGTGTAAAGACAATTATCCTGACATTGCATTTAACCCTAACCCTTTTGTTAATAATTCCTCATCTATTTTCTACAGAGGCAAACCAATTTTATGCTCCAGTGTTACCTGGGCACGTTTTTTGCAGCAGAGATGGGTTCAACATTACTATCCCCAAGAACACCACAGTCCCACCTCTGAACCTGGATGCTGTCTGGATCCCTTCCGGCCAAAACCACAACTGTAACCCCCTAAAAAGGTCCAATGACGCTGTCACTTTCAGCTTTCCGTTCACCGACTGTGGCACCCAAGCCATGGTAAATGTAAATAAATCACACGCCAGCCTCTAGACAGGTCAGGAGGTCATTTCTGTGATTAAACAGAACAGGTCTGGCTTGCAGATTACAGATGGGAATGTTACATACTGGATCAACATTGAGGTGAAGCAAAATCCCCGCAGAGGCTCCATACTTCGTGACACTCCTTTCCAGTAAGATTAAAAAAATAGAAAGACTTGTATTTTGTAGACAGACATTTCCGTTGTCTAACTGTTGATCTTTGTGTTTTTAGTCTTACTGTGCAGTGTAGCTTTGCGCTGACTCAGAAGACACAACTGGGTGTCGCTGTTCAACACAAACAGTCTGAGTACCCGTCAACACTAAGAAGCAAAGGAACACTAAGGACTGAAATGAGGTTTGCCAAAGGTCAAAGCTCTCCATCATTTCAAGATTTGGCATTTACATTCCATCGCTCAGTCTATAAGTACATTTAAATTTATAAATGTTACTGTATGAATGTTATATTGAACATGAAATCTTTAAAATCATTGACAGGACTTTAAACATGTTAAAATTGAATATGCACAAAGCATTAAACTATTGAGATTGTACGTTCATCAATATGCGCTGTTCCATCCAAACAAATAAAGAAAAGAGCCACGTTTCCACTGAGGACAAAAACTTGAAGTGATTCTCATTCTGTTCATTTTGTTTTCTTATTTTAATCCTCAGATTCCTCCTACAGGTCCTTCCACTCCTCAGGTGACCCAACAGTGGTTGAGCTTGGCCAGCCTGTGTATGTGGAGGTGTTTGTGGTCAAACATGAGGACAAGGACTTGGTGCTGCTCCTGCAGGAATGCTGGGCGACACCGACTGAGGACCCACATGACCCGCAAAGATGGAACCTGCTTGTTAAAGGGTGAAAACACTTGAATTCACTGGCAGATTGTGGCAGGTATAAAATTCCTCAAATCAGAAAAAAAATCTGAACTTCAGTTCATTTTTGCATCTAATCAAGGTGTCCTTACGCTGGCGATAGCCGAAGAACTGTTGTGCTGCCAGTCTCCAGCAAGGAGCTGCCGCATCCCTCCCTTCACAAATGGTTTGAAGTGAAGATGTTCATATTTATGAAACCCCGAACATTTAAAAACCTGGTACGTAAGAAAAATAGAAATAGTCATTTTAATGATGTGTTTTTTTTTTTTTTTAAAGACTTATCATCTCTCCTGTTGTCCTACAGGTATATTTCCACTGTGAAGTAGAGATCTGCAAAGGACCAGATTGCTTCCAGCCCTGCAACAATCGTAAGTGAACCTTCAGCCTATTTACACTTTATGAAGTTACTCTAGTCTGAATCTATTGGTGATTATTTCTGTCCTTACTCAAACTGATGCTCTAAGAATAGAGAATCATATGCTGTACAGACTCAAAGGCCGTGACACTGGGCTGTATAAATGAACCAAACATCGGCACGTCACGCTGGTAGGTTTTGTTTTTCTGTCTTTCAGGAAAGCGTGAATTAAGAATGGCACCAGGACCAGGACGGAGGACTTCTAACAGTACAGTTTCTGGTGGACCTCTTCGTTTTCTACTATAAATGATCAGGCAAAAACAACAGAAAACACATTAACTTAAAGTTGGATTTTTAAGCACTGAGATGAGAAACAGTTCAGCCAAGATGTGTGCATGATAAGAAAAGTAAATAAAACTACACTTTCACCCCAAGTATTCATCTTTTACATGATTTTCATTCTATAAACTTAAAAATTCCTTGATTTTAATAGATTAACCTTGATAATGCAAGTCGTGAGAGTGTCCACTTTTAAATGCATGGTCCCTTAGTTTTAATTAATCTAGTTTATACAGAATTTTAAATAAGAAGCATGTTTAAGTAAGTATTGTGATGCAAAATATAGAACTGTCACCGTAGACTATTTACAGTGTTTGCCACACACACCACTGAGCCTCATTCTGACTGGTCTGGAGGAATTTCCACTGAAGCTGGATCAGCCTGTGAGGTGATTTTCCACTTTTATTTTGAGCATGATTCCAAATCCAGACCTCTATGGGATAATCATTTAGATTGACATTGATCATTTTTATGTTATTTTGTTCTCAACACATTCCACTATGTAATGAATAAAGATTCTCAACTGGAATATTTCATTCATTGAGCTCTAGGACGTGTCATTATCCCATCATCAACACAGGAAGGCAGCAGGACCGGCCAAGGTGTGTCCACGGATGCTGAAGTCCTGTGCTGCTCAACTGGGGGAGCCGCTACAGCGCATCTTCAACCTCAGCCTGCAGCTGGGGTCAGTGCCCACCCTCTGGAAGACATCCTGCATCGTTCCGGTGCCGAAAAAGATCCGGCCCAGCGAGCTGAATGACTACCGACCGGTGGCACTCACTTCACACCTAATGAAGACGCTGGAGCGGCTCCTCCTCCACCTCCTCAGGCCCCAGGTTCAACACACCCAGGACCCTCTACAGTTTGCCCCATTAGTTTCCATGGAGACCTAGCTCCACAGCATCAGTTACCATGGACACCTAGCTCCACAGCATCAGTTACCATGGAAACCTAGCCAGGTGAAACCAGAGCCACCTTCATGATCCTGAGAACTCTGGCTTTAAGCTCAACATACCTGATAAGCCACTGATGTGGCCTAGACTTTCTATCCTTGAACATTAAAGAACGTTACACTGTTATGGATATTGTCCTGATTAGCATCATCTTCAGTTTTTGTGCTCCATTGATATGTTTTGTGTTGGCAACTTTTTGTGTAAATTAATCTTTTTGTTATTGTTTTTTAATCATCCCGCCAGACTTTTATTGTGGTGGGGGATCCTGGGTCATGTGCCCACAAGGTAACCAATAGAAAGAGAGGATGCGTTAGATTGCGGAAGTTATTCAGCCTGCGTGCCGTTTTCGTAACTAGGCACGAAATGTTGAAGAAGTTGGTAGTTTGTTCCCCTTAACACAGTGTGTGGTCACAGACACCAAGTGACCTGGGCCAGTACTTGTTCCATGTGTGTCTGTTGGTGTGAGTTATGTCCAAATCCACGAGCCCGAAAGGAAGCGAGCAGAAGCAGCTGCCGATCTGTCGGCACAGAGCCCGACTGGTCCAGGCTGTCCGGGACAGCACTTTCCTCGTTGTCACCGGAGAAACTGGCAGCGGGAAAACCACACAACTGCCACAATATCTCCATGAAGCAGGTGAGCTGATGTCTACTGCTGGACGGTGTAACAGTGAATTATATCCTACAGGCGCCTTTCCACACCCTGACCCTCCGCAGCTCCAGACCGTGTAGGTTTTTATCAAGTTATCATACAAACGTGTGGCCTGGAACCCACATTGTGACTTTTCCGTTTTTGTAGGTTTTTGTAGAGATGGCAGAATCGGCATCACGCAGCCCCGCAGGGTGGCTGCCATCACGGTGGCCCAGAGGGTGGCCCAGGAGATGCAGTGCACGCTGGGAAGGGAGGTGGGCTACCAAGTGCGCTTTGATGACTGCACATCACCGGTGAGGAAGAAGAAGATGAGCTGTTCCTGCAGAGATACAACTTATTCACTGTAAATATTCCCTGATATGAGTGTGTGATGGTGTGTGAGCAGGACACAGCGGTGAAGTACATGACCGATGGCTGTCTGCTCAGAGAGATCCTGGCAGACCCTGGACTCTCTCAGTACAGTGTTGTCATCCTGGATGAAGTTCATGAGCGCAGCCTCAACACAGTGAGTCCATGTGTTTGCTCAACGTCATGAACACAGTTTCTGCATTTGGGTCAGAACGTGTTGCTGCACTGTCTCAGATTCAGTTTAGTTCTTCAGGAGTGAAAGCTGAGCTCTATGAAATATTCTGGCTGAAGTGAAAAGAAAGCACTGCATGTTGTTAAATTTTAGTATGACGGTAACATGGAGGTAACTTTTACTTCGGCACATACAACGACAGTATTGACACCTTGATGCAGACGAGCACTTGTGGTCGTACGACCAAGTCCACATCACCATCCTGCCATGTCCAAATGGCACAAAAAAGTAAACACTGATGCATCATAAGGAAGTACCAGGAACTTTCTTGAGCCTTTATACCACCCTCATTTGAAAATGTTGTACTTTTTCCCATTTTTATGGGCTATTCATCCAACATTTATACTCTGCTGTAGCTGTAACCCTAACCCTCCCCACCAAATGTCACGGGGACTTACTTCATGTTATTCTTCTGGAGATACGCAACCCTTTAAACAGCTTTCCAGGTAAAGCTGCTTTTCTAGGGTGAAAATACAAAAATTCCCAGGTTAGGGTTAACCCTAACCCTAGCCCAGGGGAAATTCTGAAAATTCAGCCAGAATGTTTTATAGAACTTAGTTTTGGGTCCCAAATAACAACTAAGTAAATTCTGGGCAAAATCCAAGACAAATGGAGGAACACTGAGATCTGAAATGACAGAAACGGATCCATTATATTCCTACTCGCACAAAGTTTATCAGCAGAAGCTGCAGCAGTTCATTTTCTCCATCTGCTTGCCAACGCTGTAAGTCTGTGTTTGTTTCTCACAGGACATTCTCCTGGGGTTAATAAAGAACATCTTCTCCAACCCTGCTACACCCACCAAGGGCCGATCGTGTTCTTTGAAGGTGGTTGTGATGTCTGCCACTTTGGAAGCTGACAAGCTTTCAGCTTTTCTCGGCAACTGTCCCGTCTTTGCTATTCCTGGGAGGACGTTTCCTGTGAGCTGCATGTTTGGCTCGGCGGTAGGACCTAAAGATGTGGAAAGCACTGGCTATGTGAAAGAGGTACTGGGCTCGTTTTCTGGGAAGCCATTTCATTTGGTTTCACAGTGTGACCATTATTAGCAGATATTCGTGCTAGTCATGTAACGAATTACTTTTTTACTGTGAGCAAATAAGTAAAGTAATAGATTACTTTTTAAAAGGTAGTGTGTAATCTTTTGAAATGTGTTTGTGATTTCACTGTGATGTCGTCTTTTTTTGGTCCTGATTATTACTTCTGAAATTCATTTCTGTGGTTGCTGCTGCAGATCGGTGCATTATGTTGGTATGAGTTGAATTTTCCACCTTTTGCTCCACAGGTTGTGAAAGTAGCCCTGGACGTGCACACCAGTGAAATGGCCGGTGACATTCTGGTGTTTTTGACAGGCAAGCATTTGCTTTTTTCATTGATTATTGATTCCTAACAGGGGAAAAATCTGACATTGATTTCTTTGTGTTTGACAGGTCAGTCAGAGATTGAACGGGCCTGTGACTTGTTGTACGAAAAGGCTGAGTGTATAGATTACCGCTATGATGTGCAGGACCAAACAGTGGAGGGCCTTCTCATCCTGCCCCTGTACGGATCCATGCCTACTGGTAAACACATACAGCAGCTGTTCTTTGATTTTCACACATCAGTGTCAGCTTGGTTTGCGATGCCATTGTGATGTCGTCTCTCTCGGTCTTGCCATAGATCAACAGAGGCAGATCTTTCAGCCACCCCCTCCAGGAATAAGAAAGTGTGTAGTAGCCACTAACATTGCAGCAACATCTCTCACCATCAATGGAATACAGTGAGTGAGGCCAATGGCGCCACTGGTTTACGATATGTACCCGTGAAACTGGGACCTGACACTTCTGCAAAGCCAGTTGTCCTGCCACTCTGCTCCCACACAGGTACATCGTGGACAGCGGGTTTGTGAAGCAGCTCAACCACAACTCCAGGGTGGGCATGGATGTCTTGGAGGTGGTGCCTATTTCAAAGTGAGTCTGATAACAATAAAATGTTATTTCTAACCTGCAAACCGTTTTGTTTTAGTAATTTTCCGGCTAACATTCATGCCATGAAGAAAGCTTGCCAACAGAGATTTGGACTGGATTTTCTGTCACTAGGAGCGAGGCTCAGCAGAGAGCAGGCCGAGCAGGACGGACCTCAGCTGGGAAATGTTTTCGAATCTATACCAAGGAGTTCTGGGAGAAGTGCATGCTGGAATATACAGTTCCAGAGATCCAGAGGTCAAGTCTGACTGCAGTAGTGCTCACACTCAAGTGTCTGGGTGTTCATGATGTGATTAGGTACTGTGTGTTTGTTATTCAGCGTGCTTTACCCTCAGTGTGCTTACTTATAGTTCATTCATTGAAGAGTTGGTTTCTTTTAAGGTTTCCTTATCTGGACCGTCCGGAAGAGAGGTTTATTCTAGAGGCACTGAAACAGCTCTATCAATTTGATGCCATTGACAGGTGAGCTTTAGTATACATAAGTCTTCTGGTTTCTAAATGCAGAACTGGAAGGTTAAAAGCGTCTTGCAGAAATTCTCTCATGCGTCTGATGTTGTTGGCTGTAGAAGAGGCAGAGTGACCCAGCTGGGGGAGCTGATGGTGGAGTTCCCCCTGCACCCAGGCCTCACCAGGGCTTTGCTCAAAGCTGCCTCACTTGGCTGCCAGGAGCTGCTGCTCCCTGTGGCTGCCATGCTGTCTGTGGAGAACATCTTCATCAGGCCAGGTCAGCATTAATAAAGGAGGAAAAAAACATTCATCCAACATTATTAAATGAACTGTCTCACAACAAAGACGCTAAGTGCAAAACATGAGCCATGAGTTCAAAAAGCTTCCCTTGCTCCCCGCAGGCCAACCTGAGAAACAGAAGGAGGCAGACAAGAAGCACAGAAAGCTGGCTTCAAAGACCGGCAGTATGAATGACTTCGCCACGCTCCTCAGTGTGTTTCAGTCGTGCAAATCCAGGTAAATAAAGTTAGCGCTCCAAGACACATTTGTATTTTTTCCATGCTTGCACAAAGAGCTGTCGCTGTGAGTCAATGACTTGATGACATTACAGCAGCTGTTGTAAGCTACAGCCTTCCTCTTGCACTGTGTAGTGACAGACCCTCGGCATGGTGTAAGGAGAACTGGATCCACTGGAGGGCGCTCAAGTCTGCTTTCAGTGTGGAGACTCAGCTGAGAGAGATTCTCACCCGTCTGCAGCAGGTACAGCATTTACACACTGCTAACTGAAGCATGTTGCGTCCTTCGTCTGTTTGTTGTTTCCTGTTGCTGTAAACATAACGTAGTGCACAATTCTTCCTAAGTGTGGTTCTTCATTTTTGTGGATGTGCTGACTTGCCTTTCAGAAAAGAGATTTCCCAGTAGAAACATTTGATGGTAACAAGAGTGAACTCCTCAGACGATGCCTGTGCACAGGATACTTCACCAACGTTGCCAGAAGGTATCAGATGTTATTTAAACTGACAATATTCAGCTTCCTTTAGGATTCCTTAAATATGCCGCAGAAATATTTGTGCTCGTCATGAATCATTGTTATTCCATCACGTATAGGTCTGTCGGAAAGGTGTTTTGCACAATGGATGGCCATGGATCTATGGTTCACATTCATCCGTCGTCATCGGTAAACATACATGTATCTACATACATATGTCAGCATAAATGTATGTCAAAAGAATTCTCTACATTAAGACTGCAACAAACATTAACATGTTTTCCTGTAAGTTCTCACTTAATCTCAATTTGTTGTGACTCCAAGCTATTTGACCAGGAGGCAGAGCTGAACTGGGTCATCTTCCACGATGTGCTGGTGACGTCCCGGGTCTACATCAGGACTGTGTGTCCTATTCGATACGAGTGGGTCAAGGATTTATTACCTAAACTCCATGAAGTGGACGTCTATGAACTGAGCAGTGTGGCCAGAGAAGAAGTTACTGATGAGGAGATGATCAAATGGGAGAGCAGAGAAGCAGCCAAAAGACAACCAGGTTTTTAGAATAATTCATTAGATGTTGGTTGGCAAAGTGATGTTATATTTTCTGTACGTTTTGATCCCTACTCCCATATGTCCATCCATAAAATGATTCAAATAAGAGTGTGCCTAAAGCAGACCATGGAATAAGATGCAGTTTAAGTATTTCTGAATAGCTTCACAGCATGAATAAAGTTCACTCCCTCTGGTAAAAATCACATTTTTTACCTTGTTAACATGTGCACATTCAGATTTTTATATGCTAGAAGACAGATCATGAACAAAATAAGCAGCACCATGCAGATGGCCGGTATAGGGCTGCCATTGGCCAGTGTGTTGTGTCTAAGTGTGTACTCACTACCTCCAGCCTAGCAAGTTGTTATGAGGGTTTGGATTGTGCCGTGAGGCAACCCTGCTAGCCTTTTTGGTGAATTTTCCATTTTAATCACATTTGTGTCTGTACCCTCATTACTATTTTAATTCCAAACCGTTGCCACGTCCTTCCCCCTGTAGCACAATGATGGTGATGTGCAGCCAGACCAGTGTGGACTGCAGAAGCTGAGACAGTCAGCTGTACGGCTAAATTACTCCAGTAATGCAGCTTGCCATTGTGTAGCGGAAAATCGTTTCAGTGTTTAAGCAGAATCGTAGGTGAGCTGGTGTGCTTGACCTGCAGACAGCAGGGAGGACTGAGTGGAAAAGGAGGCTGGGACTAAACAGAGCTGCACTTTCTGAAGGGAGCAGCTGTGTAGGGTTACATCTCAATCACTATATACCAGGAAGGGATTATGTTTTATTGAAAAAAACTAAGAAATGTGTAACTTTGACACAGAGCAGAGCTTTTAGGGGTCAAATCAACAACCAGAGATAAGTTACACTGACCGTTATCACAAGATAATGCAGCACTTTATTCTTTTTTCAGAGGTTTCCACTGAGAGTGTCATGAAGAAGCTGGAGAAGCGAAACAACGAAACCACCGTCAGCGACGCTCGTGCTCGCTACCTGCAGAGAAAGCAGCAAAGACAGCAGAGCAGCTCCCAGTGACAGGAAGCATCTGGTTGTGATGATGTGATTAAAATGCTGCATTTACAACATTTTGGACAAGACATCTGAACAATAAACATACATTTGGAACATCTCACTTCTTTGAAAACCTATTATTTACACAGCATGCTGCAGCAGTGCTTGGTTGTGTACGTTTTTCATGTTTAATGCTTGATGAGTGAATTCTGTTTGGAGTTAAAGTTCCATATTTTAAATGAGGATGGGACTTCAATAAGATATTTTTGTCAAGGTTTTAGTTTTTTGAAAAATATTTCAAAACCCTGGAATAGGATCAGAGAAATAGTTTATATGTGTTACTGTTTATTTACTGAATGAAGTGATGCATCATCAATAAGTTGGTGATTATTTGTACTGTTTTTACATATATATATATATATATATATATATAAAGCACCAGATGCACTGGACATCAGACGTATTTTTGCATGTTCACCTTTTGTGCTCTGCCTATCTGTGAGCCGTACTGCAGCTCGGTGCAGCCGGGGTGAGCTTAAGGTTACAGTACAGTACTTGGTGTACTTTCACACCGACCGTTCAGGTGCAGTGGACCCTCCGCTCCGTTCGTCACTTCCCCTTGTGTGCGTCTGCGGGCTGCTGCGCTGTCTGGGACGGAGGGCTTCCATGCTAAGCAGGCGACCAACCACATTAAACCACAGAAGAGGCGTTGTTTAGCTTCCCTGGATACGGAAACAGTTCGTAGTCGTACTTAACGTCCGTGTCCATCGTTGTGCTCCTCCGTGGACTTTATTGTGCGGTCCGCCGGCCTCGGGACACCACTGCAGCAGCGACTGACCGAGCACGCCGCCGCCGCCGCTGTTGTTGTGAGAAGAAAACAAGCTCCGCTCCGGCTGTGTGATCATTGACAGAGTTCAGTACACACAAGCTTCAAGTGAGAGCTGGTGGGAGCTTTGTGCAGCGAATCTCTGAGCCTTTCCGAGAAGCGACGGCTGGGGATATTTTTGCCACAGAAGTCGAGGTAGGAACAGCCGGAGGAACGAGAACTAGCGAGCGGCTAACGGACATGCTAGCTAGCTGTTAGCCGGAGAGGTGTCTTGGCTAGCTGCCTTGTTCGGTCGGAATGCGGTCACGGCCAGTGTCCTCCTGCTGTCTGTCGGCTGTAATGTTAGTTCAAGTGTCCCTTCAGCTACGATGGAGAAGCTAGCGACCTGCACTGGACTTGGACGGGACCGCTGGCTGCCCTGTGTCGGGTAGCTAGCTGCCGCTGGACGGCTGTTCGGTGCGGGATGTGGACGGTGGGCAGCCGGTGGTCCTGCTGCCTTCTCCGGTTCTCCGGACTGATCAGATATGAAGGTCTAAAGCTGTAGCTGTGCGTGTGTTGTTCTGGTGTCTGTTGCTCCTTTGTTGTTTCTGAAGAGCTGCGTAAGACCCAGACCAAGGCTCAGCGTGTGAAGGGTTAGAGTAGTCTGTCAGGAACCAGGGTTAGGGTTATGGTGATTGTGTAGTTGTACAGACTGACTTGTGTTAGGGTTACAGTAGTCTAGCTGTCAGGAACCAGGGCTATGGTGACTGTGTAGTTGTACAGACTGACTTGTGTTGGGGTTACAGTAGTCTGTAGCTGTCAGGAACCAGGGTGGTCATAAAAAGTCTGAAGTCGAGGGAAGCCTTATCTGGGTTTATCTTTGTAAACAAAGCAGTTCAAACAGTCTTTGTGACTGTAATATTCCAGCCCATCATTTTCACCGAAATCCTGTGAGGTTCTGGTAAAGCTATTATCTAACATAAGCTGTTGGTTCAGGACTGACCCTGGATCACCAAGGCCTCTCCACAAACACCCAACAAAGAGCTGCAGGCGGCCGTTTGACAGCACACAGCTTTGCAGGCATTTGCTAATTGTTAGATCAGTGGCATTGATCCCCGATTATTTTCACTTGGCATCACTAGAATCCCAGGATCTGCTATTTCAGATGGAACATGTCTGTGAAAACGCCACGGGTATGTCCGAGGGATTTGCATGAGATGATGGCAGTGCCCAGATTGGTCATGATAATGACGTGCAAATTTCAGCAGTTTTCTTTGTTGTGGAGTTGTGTTTCAGGGCAACAGAGTCCCTCAGACAGTTAGAGTTTATTGAAGCGCAACGTTGTGGTGACAGAACCCAGATAGGCATCAAGAGCAAGACTTCACTTTCACTTTATGTCCTCGCCTCTGTCTGGTGGCTGTACTGCTACTTCCTTCAGGCCTTTTGTCTTTTCACATTTATTTTTCGGCGCTCTTCCACATGTGAGGGTGTGTGGAAAACATCACCTGAGGCTAACTCGTCAGAAGTCACACAGCTGTTTTGCTCTAACCTTTAAAAGTCAGTTTTTAATGTTCGATAATGCCTAACTTTGCACTCATGTGAGATGTTCGTTTGAGATGTTTTCCTGGTATTGATGGTTTCTATCCCTTTTTTACCCAAATGAATGTTAATGATCTCAAAGAGTTGTAATTACATGTTAAAGCTACATACAGTGAGAAATGTTTTTTTTCTTCTTCTATATTTTATCTGATTATGACAATGTCTTTTTTTTTTTCCTCCAGGTATTACATCATATATATTTTTATCTGAGCCACAGTCAGGCACTTGACCGGTAAGAAGAGTTTGCACAGTGTCCACCAGCTTGTCTGCGGCCCCCTCCCCACCAGACAGTCTTCTGCCCCAGCATGAATGAAGTCAGTGTTGTGAGAGAGGGATGGCTTCACAAGAGAGGTAAGGGTCCCTTTGTGTCCGTCGTTCTTCATCCGAGTCTAGACTAGAAGTGATGGTCCATGTCACAACCTATATTTTGAGTGTAAAATACTCTTTCATTGGTTTGTAGTTCCCTCATTGACAAGGAACAGCAGCTCAATCCATTCAGTCACAATCGATTTCCAATGTAATGACATTGCAGTACAGAGCAGCTCCTATATGAAAGCGAAACACGAGCAGGAAATAAGAACCTGTCTATTTCCAGGTGAATACATTAAAACATGGCGTCCTCGTTACTTCATCCTGAAGAGCGACGGCTCCTTCATCGGCTACAAAGAGAAGCCTGAGGTGTCCAGTGACCACAGCCTCCCACCGCTCAACAACTTCTCTGTCGCAGGTCAGCTTTCCCTTGTGACTGGCAGATCTCCATCAGTGCCATGTTTAACTCTGAGTTGTTCGTGCCTTCGGTTCTCCAGCGTGAGCTCACATGTCTGTGCTCTGCAGAATGCCAGCTGATGAAGACGGAGCGGCCCAAGCCCAATACATTTGTCATTCGGTGTTTGCAGTGGACCTCCGTTATCGAGCGAACTTTCCACGTAGACAGCAATGAGGAGAGGTAAAAGTTTGTATTTTCTGTCTCTGTGGTAGAAGTGGCCGAAGTAGTAACATAGAGATAGAAAAACCAAAACGTGCGAGGGTAGCTTGTAATGTTCACATGTGAACACAGCTTCTTTCCGTACTTGAGGATGTTTATGAAAAAGTTGTCTGTCTACGCTGAAAAATCTGTTCAAATATATTTTGGATTAGGATAGAGGGTGCCTCTGCTGAGTCGTAGCCCAGAACACATCTGTTGTGTTGCCTCCTTTTCCCCGTTACCAGAGACGTGCTCACTGTTTTGTTTCTCTCAAACACATTTTCAGTTTGTTTGGTCAGAAAACTGACAGATTTAAAGCAGTGGGTCGCTCACAGCCTTAACAGCCATGGAGAGCATGTACAGGCACAACACTGGCTGAGTTTGGCAGCCAGCCTGAATAAGAACAAATGTTTTTAGATTTCACCAGCGATATGTGTTAGAACATATGTGACATACATGTGGACACTGTCTTAGGGTGTTCAAAAGCTTTGTTTACTAAAATAATTTCTCGAATAAGGTCCGTTTTAGCGTGTTGTTAGTTGAAACAAGTTTAAACGATTATATGCTGGACTTGCTTTAAAGCAAGGAGGGACAGAATGACACAGAAGGGCTACAGGAGTCATTGTTTTTTTACATTCAATGAAAGCCATGTCGTTTTGAAGAGTAGGAACAACCATCATGCCCCAATCAGAGCTCAGAGCTGAGGCGTGGTTCTTCACCTCTAACCAAGCAGACGCACTGAGTTTTGTTGACATCGGCTCTGCCAAGTACCAAATCCCAGCAGCCCCCAGCTGAGTGGCGCACGGATTATCTCTACCATCTAAATTTAGCTTACTAAGCTACTGTTTTTCTTTCAAGATATACTTTTATATTGTATATTCTATACAACGTCTGTGTGAGTACAGTAAAGTGTGGATGTATGTCACTGCTAAGTACAATTCAATCTTGAGGCAAAGCTTATTCCATTTCATGTTCTTAGAAAATAAATTGTAAGTAATTTAGAGATGCCTTTGGCTAGATCTGATGAGGGCAACCTGTGTTCTCTTCTGGTTCAGGGAGGAGTGGATGCGATCGATCCAGGCAGTAGCAAATAGCCTGAAGAGTCAGCAGCAGGATGAGGAGCCCATGGAGATCAAATTTGGCTCACCCAGTGACAGCAGCGGCACAGAGGAGATGGAGATTGCTGTGTCCAAATCCCGCACAAAAGTGGTCAGTATTTGCACAAGCAGTGGCTGGCAGCTGAGGGCTGGCTGTGTTTGTCCAGCCAGGCTCATCTTCACTGAGCAAGTTGTTTAAACTTTAAGCTTCTTTCTCCAAGCTTTTTTGGCGACGCAGCCTTTGAATGAGTGGAGAGCAACAACTGTATAGATTTTGTCTAGTGCACAAACACTTGAAAGGATGTTGAATGCTTTTGCTTTTACAGACCATCTTTGTCCATAAACCAGCGATGTTGGTTATTGATCACAAACAGGTTTATGGTTCTTGAAAGTATTTTGAGTTGTTATTTTGTAGGAAAAAGTTCCCATACTTGTCCATCATAAGATATGAGATAATTCTAGTAGAGATCAGTATCTCCCTTTCATAGACACGATTCTAGTTTTAGGGGCTCGAGTCCTCTTGCTTGCTGTCGTGTCTGAAGCGCGAGTTGAAATGCTGTCTAATTTGAAATATTAGAATTATTTATAACTACAATGTCTCATGCAATTACATGTCATGTCTTACATGCATGAGAGATAAATACGTGTTTGGACACATTAGTTGTAGTCCACAACCTTTAGCAGTAGGAGCAGTACAGTGGGGACATTTCAGAGAGGTTGTTATCATGCGTTCACATGACATAAGGGCATCACAATTCATGATGTCTTTAAGAAAAACAAGGAGTGACTTCAGTTCGGAGAGCACCAGTAGAAGTAAGTATGTTTGTCGCGGCTGATTTTTGACTCTTGTTCCAGCAGACCATGAGTGATTTCGACTACCTGAAGCTGCTGGGCAAAGGGACGTTTGGCAAGGTGATCCTGGTGAAGGAAAAGGCCACAGGGATGTACTATGCCATGAAAATCCTCCGCAAAGAAGTCATCATTGCTAAAGTTAGTGCTCTCACATCACAGTGAAACCTCAGCCTGTGTGGGTCTTGCTCACGTTGAATGAACTGAATGTGTGTGTGTTTGCTTTCAGGATGAGGTGGCACACACAGTTACGGAGAGCAGAGTTCTCCAAAATACGCGGCATCCCTTTCTAACGGTGGGTCAGCAGCCACAGTTTGTGCTTTTCAAAATTAAGACCGTCTACTAAATACAATGCAGTTACTAATTGTTGTTTTTGCTCTTCTACAGACACTAAAATATGCATTTCAAACACATGACCGGCTATGCTTTGTAATGGAGTATGCAAATGGAGGAGAAGTAAGTATTTGTCTTTCTCAGCAAGCCTGCAGTTGTGTTTAAGGAGCGGGGAGGAAGTACAACATAAAACAATCCAGATCTAGGCACTTAGAGGGGGATTGAAAACCAACAGACAGTGGCTTAGAGACACAGAAATCACAGCGATGCGTGTCGGCATGCACCCTTCAGCGTGGACGCACAGAAACACAACAAGTAATCGTAGTTGCAGTCATGAAATGAAATGAAAAATACTTTATTTATCCCAGAAGGGAAATTCAATAATCATTTCAATTCAATAGTCATCACAGGTGTGCAACGCTGAGTATGGCAGAACTTTCCCTCTCTGGCCTCTATGGGCATCACACAACAGAAGCAACACAGAAAATACCAAACAAGGGCCTCGCACAGGTGGTTAAAAACGCTTTCCTAGAGAAGGATGGTGTAGAAACATGAGGATCGAATGGGAATAGGTTCAATATCAGTCAGTAAGATAAAACCACCCATACAGATGTACTCACGCAACAGCAATACCACTGTCAAGTATCTTCACTGAACAGAGCTTCAAAGTGGGAAACATTAGGAATACAACTTTGTCTGTTGTTTTATTCGAACACTGTTGTAGGGTTGAAACATTTAGATTTGTGAAAGCAACCAAATCAGAACACATTGTGGGCTAGATTGGATGTTCTGCTGAAAGAACTGAACTAAATTAGTCTTCATTCTTCCCCCTGACTTGTAAGGACTGCTTTGGTTACTGCATGTACTTGGCTGGTTGTTAACTCAAACATTTAGAATAAAAAACTTATTTTTTTCAAGTAGTAGACATGCACGAAGAAAGATCTACATTAAAAAAAATCAAAACTAAACCTTCTGAAATCATGTATTTCAAGGAACTTGAACAATGGTTTGTCTTTCATTCCTGTCAACTTTGTAAATTCCCTTGCAGCTCTTCTTTCATTTATCCCGGGACAGAGTATTCACAGAAGACAGGGCACGATTCTACGGTGCAGAAATAGTGTCAGCACTGGAGTATCTACACTCACGCAATGTAGTTTACAGGGATTTAAAGGTAAGACCTTTTCTTGCTTTGACAGCATCGCAGTAATTCATTGGAAATAGGCTGGAGGAGTATTTTTTTACCATGAGTTGCCCTGTAGCACAGGGTAAGATCAGCCAGTAATCACTTACAGTAACAGATCAAAGGTGCATGCAGTGACAATGCTGAGAGTATGAAGAAGGATTGTATTGTGAATAGAAATGTCTTTCCCTGCTTTCCACAGCTGGAGAACCTCATGTTAGACAAGGACGGCCACATAAAGATAACAGACTTCGGGCTGTGTAAAGAGGGGATCACGGACGGTGCCACAATGAAAACCTTCTGTGGGACTCCGGAGTACTTGGCCCCAGAGGTAACCCCACATGGGCTGAACACCTGAATGTATTCTGTGATCAGGATTATTTCAATAAGCACTAATGTTGCAGGGCTGTTGGGTTTAAGTTTATAGTGTTGTCACTCAGTCTGTCCGCCCTGATGATCAGGCTGCTGTGTCCAACATGTAGTCAAAAACATCACTTCTCATTCAAATATTGTGAGTCTTCAGCAAAAGTTTTCAAGAAAAAGCCTTCAAACAGTCGTCGGAGTCTGATGTGAATAAAAACACATCACCCTAACACAACAAGAACAAAATCTGTAGGTTTTAACCAACTACACAATGTGTTACATCTTCTTATGCAAACGTTTCCCAAACTCCTCCTTCCCCTGGAAAACCACAGACTTTGGAGCAACTTAGTTGACTTTGTTGTGGGGTACAGTGTGACAGCCATGGAGGACAGCATCTGTGCTGGGAGAGCTGCTTCTCAAATCATAGCGTTCAAATGTTTCCCACAATCGGACGCAAGCCAGGTTTATTTGTATAGCACAGTTCATAACTGAGGCAGTTCAAAGTGCTTCACACAAAATGATGAAAACATGGATAAAGTCAATCCACAAAACATAAACACAATCATTAATTAATTACATTAAAAGTATGTTGGTCAGAAAATGGGTAATCACTGAAACACAGCTGACAGTCAACATGTTGCTGGGATGGAAAGATTGCTGGCTCATTTTAAATATCCGATACCAGGGACATATTTGTCTAGTGAGAAAACGTTATCCTTTGAACTGAGCTTCTGTCAAACATGTTTGCTTTACAGTGTAAATAAAAATAATGACACAATAAGTAACATTTGATTGGTTGATCTTTTGAATAAGTCATAAATGGCACCCGAAAACATGTTCTATGACTGTATGTTTGGGTTCTGTCTCATTCTTGAGAGTACGCAGTAATATGGGATTATTAATTATTAATTATTAATATGACATTTCCTACCATAGGCTGCCAGGGCGCCCACACCTCCACACTTGTTCTAGTTCTGTAATTTCATTTTTAGAAGTGGCAGTATTTAATGTGCCAAAGGGGAAAACGTTTGACGATTTCATGGCTGCTGCCAGTTTTCTTGTCTTTTGAGACTGAGCAAACATCCATGGATACTCTTCCACTGACACTGCTGCTGTTCTGGTTGTTCTGCCCTGTCAGGTGCTAGAGGACAACGACTATGGACGAGCGGTGGACTGGTGGGGATTGGGCGTGGTGATGTATGAGATGATGTGTGGGCGGTTGCCCTTCTACAACCAGGACCACGAACGTCTGTTTGAGCTTATCCTCATGGAGGAGATCCGCTTCCCCAAGAACCTGGCTCCTGAGGCCAAGGCCCTGCTGGCAGGCCTGCTCAAAAAGGACCCCAAACAAAGGCAGGTGGCGTGCAGCACATGTCTGTTTGTGCATCATGACGGGCAGCAGTTATTAGTCAATACAAATAGAATAATTAGGGCTTTTTAAGTGATTATAAAAAGTAAGCGTTGTGTCGGTAAACTGACCTTTTTTTTTTAAATGAGTTTTAGAAAACTGAAACTAAAAAAAATAATTTTGGATTACAGATATTTTCCAAAAACAAAAGCACAGCTGCGATGACCATTTAGAAGTTCAAGTATCCAACCTATTGCTTTAAGTCTGATTTTGTAAACACCTATTTACTGCAGACATGTATATAATTTGTACGTTAGCGTGTAAAGCACTGTTTCAAAATCTGAATTCATTACAATGCTTCTGTGTTATGAGATTGTCCGTAGAGTGTGGGCTGCAGGTGGTTCGGTGGTTAGCACCCTCGCCTCGCAGCTAGAAGGTCGCTGGTTCGCGTCCCGGTGAGGACACCCGGCACTCCATGATCTCCCCGTGCAGCGTGGGTTCTGTCCCTGTTCATGGGTCACCTGCTCAGCTAGTGAGCTATAGCTAACTATAGCTAGCTATAGCCCTGTTTATGGGTCGCCGCTCAGCTAGTAAGCTGTAGTTAACTATAGCTTACTATAGCCTCTTTATGGGTTTCCTGCTCAGCTAGTGAGCTATCGCTAACTATAGCTTACTATAGCCTCTTCATGGGTCATCTGCTCAGCTAGTGAGCTATAGCTAACTATAGCTAGCTATAGCCCTGTTTGTGGGTCGCCACTCAGCTAGTAAGCTGTAGTTAACTATAGCTTACTATAGCCTCTTTATGGGTTTCCTGCTCAGCTAGTGAGCTATAGCTAACTATAGCTTACTATAGCCTCTTCATGGGTTTCCTGCTCAGCTAGCGAGCTATAGCTAACTATAGCTTACTATAGCCTCTTCATGGGTTTCCTGCTCAGCTAGCGAGCTATAGCTAACTA